TCTCTCTCTCTCTCTCTCTCTCTCTCTCTCTCTCTCTCTCTCTCTCTCTCTCTCTCTACATTGTTCTCTCTCCCTCCCTCCCCCTCGTCTCGGTCTATTTGTCCCACGTTTAACTCCACAGTTTAACCTCCGAGTCCTCTGTAAGACGTTCCACTGGCTGCTTAAGCATTCTGCAAACACCGGCATGTGCTATCGCTCCCCCGTACTTTGTGAGACAGCAGGATTTTTTCCATAGATCTGGTCTCTCTATAAAACTGCTCAGCTCTGACAGATTGTGTTGATGAATCAGCCTCCGTCTGTTCAAGTGCTTCCTCCTCCGAGGCTGAATGCCGTCTGCAACTCCTGCAACTACCTCTTTGTGCATTTATTCCACAACTGTCCTTAAGAAGTAGAATATAGTTTTTACATTGCCAAAGTCGAAATTGAACGTCTTGAGCTGTTTGTAAAGTGGAAGGACATATTTTGTTATTTTTCGAGATCATTGTGCAGCTGCAACTGGATTTTTATAACAAATTTCATCGCCCCTCAAGCAACTCACACCATTTTTAGGACGACAGCAACACCAGATTTAGCATTTTTATTCATGATTCATGTCACTTCCTGCAAAAAAGACAAATGGTCAAGTACAACTTTTTGTCATGATGCCAAAATTGATACCCAATATGTTTTCCTCAAAGTTTTATACAACTACAATACTGGATCAACTCGTTGTGGATGTTATCATATTCATTTTATGTCAGTTTGATGTACGTCTTTGTCACTTCCATTTTTGTCTTTTAGTTGGATCAAGAACATTTTTTTAATCACCTGGTTCATGAAAGGCTGTTTGTCAACAAACCAGAATGCAGCTCTCACAGTTTGTGTCCTGCTGCGAGTGTCTAGTTCATTTTTCATTAAGGTTTGAAGTCCTTGCTGTGAATAATTGGATTATTTTTACATAAGCTTTCATGTTTTGTTTGGGCATAAAAGTGACACCTTTGTAACGAGGCGACGTGTTTTTTTTAGGATTATTACACTCGCCAGGTGTCCCTCAAATTAAAAAAATTGCCTTGAAATCACACAAATTGTCAATAAATTCAGTATTTTCAAGCAAAGGAACACATACCTCCCCTCTTTAAAGGATTTATCAAAGACTAGTCAGGACGTCTGGACTCTTGTTGTAGGGCAACTTGAGTTTTAGGAGGCAACATTAAAGTGGCAATACGTTTTTTGATAGCAAAATAAAGAGTTAAAATATTGACACCATTAGCATTTAGATTGGTTCTTCTCGCTGTCACTATGCAATTCTGTCGTGATCGCCGGGAAAATGAATGCTTGAGGGCCGCCGCTGCCGAATGTATATAACGGGAAAACTAGTGTGTTTTATTCTGCCTTTATCATAACACGGAGATCTCAAATTGATATTTTACGGCTGTTTCTTGCTTTGGATAGTAGCCAGGCTGCTAGTGAAAGCCATGTTGCCATAAAACCAACCAGGAGCGTTAGCTGGCGTCAGCCATGTTTCTAACGCTAGCTATGCCAGCTAATGCTAACACTAGAAACCAAAAAACAAAGTTCTGCATTTGTTTCTGGCTGTGTTAGCTAGAGAGGCAGCCTTGTTGCCAATCTTAACTATGCTAATTAACGCTAACACTAGAAGCCAGAAACAAACATCTACATCTAAAGAACATCGACGTTTGTTTCTGCCCCTCTCGTGTTGGCGTTAGCTAGCATTAGCAACAAGGCTGCATCTAGCTAACGCTAGCCAGAGACAAACATCTATGTTCTTATCTGGCTGTTAGCAGTAGCTAGCTTCAGCCATGTTTTCTAATGCTTGCTATGCTAACTAATGCTAACACTAGCAGCCAAAACCCAACCATGATTCATTGTCTGTTTTATAATAAAAATGGTGGCCTTTCTTAAATGAGCAGTTGTGAAACTTTCTGTTGAAAGTTCTCTGTTGCTACTTTAAGATAAATACTAGTTTGTTTGAGAGTTGTTTATCTTCTGAGCAGTTTTACACCATCCACAGATACATTTTCAGCTTTCAGCATTCTGCTCGTATGCAGCAAACTAACGTTGGTTTCTTTTCATCTCTTTGATTGGCATGCTGAGAAACAAGAACACGGTCTGCAGCAGATTCTGTTACTGAGCCTTCATCTGTCTGACGGGAGCAGGAACTTGTGTAATCTCAAACCGAACACACGCGTCCATTTCTCTCCATCAGCTCGTCTAAATTAGACGCCAGTCACGATAATAGAAACCCGACTGCGTGCTTTGGTATCTCACGCTGCTCGGTCGCTGTGGTTTGACCGCCAAGCTTTTCTTCCCACAGATACAGTAACATTTCATGTGACTGCAGCACAGTTTGAAAGGGGGAAGGGTTTTTACATATATTAGTCTGCCGGTCTCCTCCATAAATCTGTTCCAGCTCTGACAAGCCGAGGCCATCATTTAGCAATCGCTTGTCTCCTGACATCTCACTCTGCCTTATTCGCCTCCACCCTGCATTTGTTTTAGTGGTTAGCGGTTGTTTTATGCTCGTACCTGTCAGCCGTGAGAAGAATATTAAGCAGGGAAGCTTGATGGACTGCAGAACGGAACGTGATGTTGACCAAACTTTCTTCTCTCTCTCTCTCTCCAGGTATTCAAGCTGAAGGCCGTCCAGCTTGCAGAAAAGCTACTTCCTGCCTTTAACACCCCCACAGGAATCCCCTGGGCCATGGTCAACCTCAAGAGGTTAGTGAGGTTCCAGATAAATACCGTCTTCTTCACCCCGAGCTAACCTGACAGCAAAATCAACGAGACAGTGACAGTAGAGCAGCAATCACGCAGCCTGGAACAAACTCTGTGGCTTGATTGACAGATCGTTTACTCTTTTTACCTATTATATCTTAATCGATTGAAAGAATGTCTCAAAACTTAAACCTGCAATAATGGAAACTATCTGTGAACTCTGACATTACATCACCTTGTGTTCCTTCCTTTCTGCGTATTGAATTGTCTTAAATACAGTTAAATACAAAGTGTGTTTTCTGTTGATGCAGATTATGTAAAACATGTTTTAAACAGGTTAACGACATCACAAAGAGTCGGTACTCAAAGTCCCTCAACAAAAACATGCTTTATCTGATTTTACTTATGATATATGCTGCTACACCTTTTGGTTTTAAGATTCGATCCACCCACACAGGTGTACCCACCGTTAAACCTCCTCTCAGGACTGTGAGGGTTTGTGCAAACTGTACTCTCACTTTCATCATTATTATTACATAATCTGGTGCTCGAGTGTTAATTCCCAACGTGGCTTCACTCCGCTTCAACCTGACAATGACTTTTTGAATAACTGGAACTATCTGTGCGAGTGTGTGAGCAGGGTAGATCGTCTTTTAACAGGCGTCAAAAACGTCTTCAAGATGAGTGAAATTCAACTTATAGAAACCTGTTAACGCTCGGAACAGTGCTCTTCTTCCCTGTTGTAGCCTGAAGTCTAACATTAGCATAATAGCATCCCATCCTTTTCTGTTCCTCTTATTGCTTTCTGCAACTGTGAAGTGTGTGTGTGTGTGTGTGTGTGTGTGTGTGTGTGTGTGTGTGTGTTGAGGATGTGTGTGTGTGTGTTGAGGATGTGTGTCATACAATAGAGGGCCTCCTTCTCTCGAGGTAATTCAAATTCATTCGAGAGCCGACACTTCACGTTTCGTCTCAATCTCCCACCACACAAACACAAAACGCAGCTACACACACACACACTCGCACTCAAACGCCCCCAGGAATAATTACACGCACACACACACACTTAATCTAAACACACACTTATACTGTAGAACACATCCCTCTCTTTTGCCACTTGTTCAGGCAAACACACACGCCTCTTCCTCCACACACACACACACATACACACACACACACACACGTAGCATCCCATTAATGTTGAATGCTCTCATGTGAAATTGAAGCGGTTGCAGACGCCTCCCGTCTGTGTCACTTATGGTGTAAATGTGACTGAGACGAACGACAACCTGTTGCACCGGATTAAAAAGTATCTGGTCTGGTGTTGATATAAAGATGGAGTACAGTAGTACAGTACACCAGTGAAAATACATCACATTTATTCATATACCTTTGCATCTTAAGGTGTATTAAAAACATTATTATTCTTTTAAATGATGTGTGTAAAATTAAAATCTTTCTTTATTTGTCTCTCTCCTTTCTGTCTTTCTCTCCATCACATCATCCCTCCATCTCTGCTCCCTCTTCCTCCTCTTCCAGTGGTGTCGGTCGTAACTGGGGTTGGGCGTCGGCAGGCAGCAGCATCCTGGCTGAGTTCGGGACTCTCCACATGGAGTTCGTCCACCTCACCTACCTGACGGGGAACCCGGCCTACTACCAGAAGGTACCGCTGGGATGTAACGTCTGTAATGCATCTTTTCCACCGCATGGTTTCCGCTCGACTCGGCTCACTTTGGGCACCGGGTGCTTTTCTCTATTTGGTTCAACGCTGCAGACTGTGACAGAGTTCTGTTGGCTGCCAGAGATTAAAAGCATTGCGGTTGACGGTAGCTTCGGCTAACTCCAACTTCTAGTATCGTCTCAGTTCGCTTGGAGCCTCGACCAAAAAAGTACCAAAAAATATCCACAACTTTAGCTAAGAAGAGCCGTGTTGAATTGCGTAACATGCAGCAGAAATGTTAAATCAATCAAACGAGAACAATTACAAAATAGAAATCCGGGCGTCTTGTTGTGAAAACTGTAATTTAGCTTTTTTTATTCACAATGAATCTTTCCTGTCTGGATTAACACTCTGGTGTTGGTGTGGATGTCAGGTGATGCACATCCGGAAGCTGCTCGCCAAAATGGACCGACCCAACGGACTCTACCCGAACTACCTGAACCCCCGGACGGGTCGCTGGGGCCAACGTAAGTACACCTTTAGGATTAAGATTAAGATTAAAACAGCACCAGAACAGCTTTACATCACAGTGTTAATACATTGCTTTAAAAAGCCCATTTCTGCTCTTTTGTTTTTAATGAAAATGTCGCTAGAAGAAGAAAAATAAGCTTCTGATCTTGAGACGCATTTATTGTTTGTCAACGTTTAATAAGAGAATACTGTGCTCACTGGATTATTGATTCACAAGCAGCCCGTTGGGAGAAGAGTCAAGATGTTCCTGTGAGTTTTAAATGATGGTGTAACTCTATGAAGACACACAGGAGAAATTAACACTCGGCGACGGAGAGAGAGGCGGAGCAGAGTGGATCGTCTTTAACGAGGACAAATTGAAGTGAGCAGAAGAAGATAAAAGCGGGGGGGGGGACACAGTATTCCCAGTATATTGATTACATTCTGGCGGTTTGCCCGGGGAAATTAACGAGATCGCTGAGTGAAGTTTAGACGTGCAGTTAAAACCTCTTCAGGCCCCAAAAACATCATTTCTGGTTAAAGCCTTTTACGACGAGTATGTAATTAAAGCTGATAGAGCTACACCTTCACTGATCTAGTGTTTCACCCGGCGCCACACGCGGTGACGCACAAACCAGCAGTTTAAATGCGGTCAGAGACGTAAACAAACATCCATGCTGTCTGACTTTAGCACAGATTATATCCAAAGATGTTTGGTAAAGCTGCTTTTGCAGCTAGTGAAGTAGAATGAGGTGCAGACGTTTCTAATAATGTCCCATAATCCTCTTTCACTCCTTTGAACTAGACTCATTTGCATATTTCAGGTTATTTATTATGATATGCATAATTACAAAGAAGCAGTCGTGAGCTTTGATCTCAGGCTCCCTGCATCAATGCTAAATATAGATAATAAAGAAGACATAAAGAAGTGTAGAAGTTAAAATGTAAGGATACAAAAATATATAGAATATGAAGTAGAATAACGTATATTTTTAGTACACAGTAATTGCATATAAAGTGTATATATATAAAGTAAAGTAAAGGTAGGGGACTCAGTCCAACAACCTGAGCCACCAGTTCACTACATTCCACAATCTTTAGTCTAATAAACTAACAAAAAAAAACAACTCACAACATGTCAGAAAGTAAACATTTATTGTCTTTATTAAACAGAAAAGTACAACCTTCCAAATTCAAGTTTCCTCTTTCCCCGATCGAAGACGGGCTTCATCATTTACTCATCGTAGAGTTGATTCAACAGAAACAAAATGAAACCCTTAAATCTGTCTTAGTTAGTTATTACACTGTTCCAGCAATCACCAAAATAAATCCTTTTATTCACAAGTTATGTGTGAAAATATTTCGGCTTCACACTTTTTTACTTCTGAGACGTTTAACTAAATAAAAGCGCCAAAAAATTAGCAGCTAAGATTTAAAAACCTTTATTAATTTATTCTTTTTCTCTGTGCACATTTCACCCTTTTTCTAAATCCTTTTTTTTACCTTTATGCTAATAATAATCGTATAATTATGCCACTCTGCATGTCACGGCACATAATCAATGAACATGTGACAAATACAACGCTGAGACTTCAGAGTGCTGCCGAGCTTTTATTGTGACGTCGATCCTTTGAGTCATTCCTCCAAACATTTATTCAGCGTGTTGTATATTTCCTTTCATACATTTTGAATCTTTGTACTTCTCTTCCTCCCCAGCGTACTCCCCAGCGCTCAGCAGGGAGTGTTGAATATTCCTTCTTGTTTGTTTGTCATCATTCCAGTCGGGAGAGTTTTTAAGCCTGAGAGGGCGTTTAAGATGCTGCATGACAGACGTGGAGGGATTTATGGTTTATTATGTCAGCATTCCAACAGAACATTCAAACAATGTGGATATTTAAATATTCCTTTTATGTGTGTGCGCCCACTCTCCTGTAATGTGAGAGCTGTCATTCAGAGATCCGCTCAGGTCTGCTCTTTACTTCACTGAGAGGAAATGAAAACATGAAAGCAGATGTAATCAATTAAAAACAATGCACACACACACATGGACGGTGCCACTCTGTCAAAATACAGACGTTTTCAACAACCGCTGTGGTCCAGCAAGATGGAACCTGTGTTTCATGTGTTTTACTTGTCGACAAAACAAATGGAGGACCTCATTAATGGATGGATAGGAGGAGGAGGAGCTCATTAATGGATGGATAGGAGGAGGAGGAGCTCATTAATGGATGGATAGGAGGAGGAGGAGCTCATTAACAATGAACATTGACAATGAACAGACGGATGGATAGATGGATGGATGGAAAGAAGGCGGATTGATTGATGTGGAGGAGAACATTAACAGATGGATAGTTAGCTGGCGAGCTGCAGGGGATGCCAGATGTTTTATGTTTTTTCTGTCTCTGTGTGTGTGTGTGTGTGTGTGTGTGGGGGTGGGTGGGTGTGTGTGTGTGTGTGTGTGTGTGTGTGTGTGTGTGGGGGTGGGTGGGTGTGTCAGGAACTGAGTCTTTCTTTGAGCCACAGTTTGGTTCGTACCTCGGTTTGGTGTGAGTTTGTTACAGCGTGAAAAATAAATAAATGCATATAAATGTGCTTCTTTAAATTGATGTTGAACAGACGGAGTTAAAGACGGATTCAATCTTCCTGCTGGGGACTGAGGGAAAGTTTGCCCACTAGAAACTTTTGTAAACTATTGTAAAAATAAGGAACATTTCAAACACTGAACAAACACTTTCCTAAAATGCAACAGGTCTTTGCAAGTAAAAGTTTGCAAGTGGAGCTCACGCTTGTGAACTTCCAGCATCACGTGCATCACTCTGCATGTCGTGTATCCTGCGTGCATCTTACTGTGACGGTCTGTCACGAATACACTAACTAGTGCATGCACATGGGAGTGTGTGTCTGCAGTGTCTCTGTGAGCACATCTATTCACACATCTATTGATCTACCTGCATATGTACCGTGTATATGTGTTGCAGTCTGACACCTGGACACATTAATTTGCTTCCATTCCACCTTGTTGCCATCACCGGCTCAGTTGATTACAGCACAGCAGCGCTGGTTTAATTAAAGCCCAAAGCTGCTCCAACCTGAGCGGCTGCAGAGTTGCACCGTGAGGAGGAGGGAGGGAGTTAGCTGAGAGGAATGTAATTAATGTGAAACCCAGAGGGGGCTCAGAGCAACACACAATGCCCTTGAATGTTGATAAATCTTTGCATAACAAGGCAAAGGTGAGAACTTTTCATTTCCTTAATTTCACCACATTTGCAGTTCATTCATTAAGATATGAAGTAATCATGACCGATCACTGCAACCTTGTCCTCTGTAGATTATATGTGTGTGCCGGTAGCTGGGTCACTCTTTGCTTTGCAGTGCATTCTGGGTAGAAAAATGCAGCCTGCAGGAGCTTAAGGCAGAGGGGTGAGATGTTGGCACAAGCTGAAGAAAAATGCTGAAACCTCACAAACGGCTGCATCAAACGAAACAAAAGATAATGAAACAACAGTAGATGTGCTGGTCTTATTCACACAAGCAAAGAAACATCTAAAACTTCCTCTCTATCTTCAGTTTGTCCTGCGACTTAAAGCAGCCTCGATCTGTTGAGGTTACTTTAAATGAGACAAATCTCTGAGCAGTCGTGACCCTTTTCTCTCTCTCGTGCTCTCTGTGTCTCCTTTAGATATTCTCTCAACATAAATAATACAGGCAGAGATGAGATCTTGCTTTTTGTGTAAGATATTATGAAAGCAGGTTTTCTGGTCAAGGATCCCTTTTGTTTGTTGTTGTAATACTTATTTCAGCCACACGAGGCTTCAAACTATAGAAAGACAAACATCACGACATGTTGCTTCAGTAAACATGTTTTTCTGCCGTGACATCATCATCGTCCACTGAGTCAGGAAGGCCAAAAATCACAGAACATTTTAAAGTTGTTTTGTACATCGTAGGATTATTATTTACGTATTTTTGAACACCTGTAAAAGCTTCATTACAGGAACATTTAGACCGAGTTAGATTTATGAGCGCTGGTCTCTGGACACAAAGTTAACTCAAACAAAACAGACACAGTCTGTCTGTGACCCAAGTGTTGTTTACTGTGTTGAGATTCTTTTTATCGGCTTAAAAAGTGAATTTTTTTTGTAAAATATTCACATTGAGAGTGCGTTTGTTTCACCCTGCCCACCACAGGCAAATATTTGTCTTTCATCCTAGGTGTGTGCGGGTGGGTGGGTGTTTAAGTTACGAACATTTAAATTGTGAGTAGCATATGTGAGGAGAATACGTGAATGTGGGCCTGTGTTTGGAAACTGTTTGAAGGGTAGAAGCATGTGTGCAAAAGTATCACTGTGTGAATGTGTGTGTGCGTGTAGTGTAGGTGTGTAGACGGTAGTTAAGCCACACTAATGAGGAATGAGGCTCAGCTCCTCTGTCTTAATGAGATCCTGCAGTGACTGACAGCCTTATTACCACACACACACTCCTCTTCTCACACACACACACACACATACACCACCCACTCCCTCTTTTTCCCCTACTCACGACGAGTCTGTCAAACACTCCTTTCTTCATCGCTGTATTTCCATATAGTTAGAATGAATCCTCACTAGAACAGATATACATCTGACTTGTAACGTTCAGGTTCAGCTTCATAAAGTTACAGTCGTTCAGATTCAATAACTTCCTGCTGCTGCATTCAGGCTCAAACACAGTCCACGTTTAAGGCTGGGTTGCACCAACAAGAGTTAGAGACGGAGAGAGAGGACGTTTGAGACGAGGACGTCTCACTCCAGAACTAAGAAAGATAACTCCGGACCGCCTCAATACGAACATGCTTTCACTCATTTAGAACCACACACACAGAAGGTGTTCGTGCTACCTCAGCAGCCTCAGTGCCCTTGTCCTTCTGTTTTAACCCGGAGTGTGTTGGAAGCCTTGTGAAGACGTTCTAGAGTGCGTTTGAAGCCTCCTCCTTAGCCGACCCTACGTGACCCGATCCCTTGATTTGATTGGCAGAAGCCCGACGGAGAGAAGAAGAGTGGGGTTGTGAGAGTGTGTGGGTGGATGTTGACAGAGTGTGGGAGGTGATTGGGAAACTCAGAGAAAGGTAGAAGGAAAAGAGAAAAATACAAACGGCAAGAAAGTGTTTTAATCTGCGTTCCCTTCTTATTCTCCTCCTCACTGCTTCTGGTGTTAAAGGCCAGTTGGAGCTGTGGGTGGTTTATTATCTCCTCTCTGATCTGATGCTGTGATTCAGCTCTTTACTAGTTCTTTGTGTTGTGCTCCCTGTGATACATCAGGTGGGGATTCTGTCTTTCGTATGCCAATCGCCTCAGATGTGTTTTCACATATTTTATTGTAAAAAAAAATGACTGAGAGCCTCTAGACAGGATGAGTTTCTGGTTAGTTAAACGTAAAAGCACTCCTCACAAAAAGCTTGTTTGTAGGAAGATATCACAAGTGTCCATAGTGTGAGTGAATATAAGACTCTGCATTGTTAAAGGTCTGTAAGACGATTCTATAGGAACGTGTTTGTATACTAGGAGGGCTCTAGGAGAGGGCAGACCTCGGCCTACGCCTGTTTCCGTCAGTGAAAGATAGTGCGTGTATCCGCAGCGTGATTGAGATCAGATCTTTGGCCGATGGTTCACCCTGCCACCAAGTTTCAAGAGAATGGGGCCAGTAGATGTTCCCGTAGTTCTACCGAAGACAGAACCTCCTCGGTGGATATCAAAGTAAAAATATCACAATGATTCAAACTAAATCAGCCATTTCACAAAAAGTTTGATATCTTCAGAAATAAAGAAGAAAACCTTCGTTTACGTTCATACAATCAGGTTGTATGTAAGTCACATATTTCAAAGACTGCATGGTTAAAGTCTTGTTATATCGTGACTATATTAAAGTAATACTGTATTAGAGTGAGTGAGATTCTCTCTCTTTCTCTCTACTGAATTATTCTGAGCATGAACAGACGAGTATTGACTTCCAATCCAAAGAGAGAGGACGTCTGTACATCTTTTATCTACAGTATCTAGTCATTTCCAAAAGTTTGCCCAACCGAGTTCACTGTGTTCTCAGCCAAGTCAACGTTATGAATTTTAAATAAGCTGTTTGACTTTCTGTGTTTTTAATTTGTGTTGTTTGGTTAGCGGTGCCGGCCAGGTCTCTGCTGGTGTTTGAGATTGATCAGTCAATCAAGGTTTCTCTGCTGGCTTGTGGGTGAACGACCGGCTTCCGCATGAAAATAAACAGTTTGTAAAGAATTAAAGGACCTTACTCGGTATTTACTTATGTATTTACTGCACAATGAAACATGTTGCTCCAGCTGGTACTCTCTCCCGCTCTCCTGCTCAGTGGTGACACAGGTGATGCAATCTCTCCGATGAAACCCAGGTGGCTCAGGGCTGGTGGTGATTCAAAACATTTTAAAGCGACCAAACTATTACAATTAACTGTCAGGGTTAAAGTTGTAACAACGCTGTGGTAGAGACCTGTCAATCACTGTGTAGCCCCGCCCTAAAGCATCCCCTGCTTTATGGTCTGTTTGACTCTAAATGGATCATAATATAATAAATGAACATCATGCTGTATTGAAGAAGACTTGAAACTAGAGATTGAGACCATAAACTCATGTTTACAATGTTTACTGAGGTAATAAATCAAGAGAGAAGTAGAGTCATTTTCTCATAGACTTCTATACAACCAGAGGAGTCGCCCCCTGGTGGACACTAGAGAGAATGCAGCTTTAACACATGAAGCATCAGCTTCACTTTACAGAACCGGAGGTTGCCGCCTCTCTGTCTCTGTCTCTCTCTTTTTGTGTCTCTCTCTCTCTCTCTCTCTCAAAAGATGAATAATTCATTGCTTCTTTTGTCTTCGTGTATCCCTCACGGGTATGTTAATCACATGCAGAAGAGAATCTCTTTAGGAGCGACGCAAAGCATCAGATACAGATTATGATGACATTGAGCTGAGGAGATAGAAACACGGAGAGGAGGAGGAGGAGGAATATTTTCCGTCCACCATTGCTCCCCCAACCACACTTGAGATTTAGGATTTACTTATGTACTGTACTTAAGTTAAATTTTGAGGTACATGTACTTTTCATAGTGTACTTATACTCTACTACATATCAGAGGGAAGTATTGTGCTTTTTCCTTCACTACATGTATCTCATACATTTAATTACTTTACAGATTCAGACTAATACAACATTGTTATGAGTTAAGCTACACAGCTGCATATTATTAAGTAAGGTTGATATAATTTAATAGTATAACATGAAGTATTCTATAATGGCTCATTTTCTTCACTTTAAAGTAACTTTGAAAAACTGCACAACCAACAAAAAACTTTGTTAAAACAAATTAACATAAAATCAAACTAATAAAGCAGATTTGCAGTTTCATAAAAGATTAGAATCCAGCAACTCTTAAATGCACACGTTTCTCTTCGTGTGTTATAAAGACAATATTGTATAGGTCAGTGAAATAGACCAAAGCGCTGTTAGAAAATAGATGAACTGGGCTCAAAGCTCCCTCTGGAGAAAATAGGTTATTTTCATGGAGTGCTGGCTGCGTCCAATCTCCTCTCTCTGTGATGTCCTGCTAATCAGGACGGCCATCAAAGCTGTGTAAACGTCCAAGAGGACGACTGAGGACATTGAAATGTGAGCACATCAGGGAAACGGTAAACAGAAAACCAGGAGAGAGAAACGCTGCCAATATAGTGTGTGTGTGTGTGTGTGTGTGTGTGTGTGTGTGTGTGTGTGTGTGAACCACCCATGGTTCTGATGGATGCTTTTGATGCCATATGTTGCTCTCTGCCAATAAAGAATAAATAATTCACTTTGGCTTTTCTTATCCGTCCGTCTCTCACTGTTTATCCTCTCCACTTTTTAACACTATTTATTCTCTCTATCTCTCTCTCTCTCTCCTTTCTCTCTCTTTCTCTTTCTCTCTTCAGACCACACCTCTGTTGGAGGACTTGGGGACAGTTTCTACGAGTACCTGCTGAAGGCGTGGCTCATGTCGGACAAGACGGATACGGAAGCTCGCAAGACCTACGATGACGCCATCGAGGTAAAATACAGAAATGTTATTCCCACAGCTTCTGACCACCTATGAGACACCTTTAACTTAAACACAGTGTGTGTAATATGAAGAAAACAAATAAATACACAGCTGGGACAGATGAAATACTAATTGTAAAAGCTAAACATTAACTTCCAGTGTGTAGCATTAAAGCATGGTGCAATTAGCAAGCTGGCTAACTAGCGGACAGCCGGCTAGTTAGCCAGCTAAGGCCACTGCGCTTAAATGCTACACTGGTTTCAGAAAAAGAGCCGGTGACAGGAGAGTGTGGATGAAGCTTAATTTTACACACTAACTCAAAACCTCACATTGTCGTAAATCTGTTTAGCGTTCACGCAAGTTAGCCCGCTACAACAATGGCTAAAAATGGCCGCCGCTCTGACCATCCAGCTACGTTGATCTGAAAGGGAGTCTCTGTTCTACTCCTATTCTATTTCTATGATTAAAAACACGACTTTACTTTAAACCGTCACACTAAAGACAAACTCATAACTTGATTGTATTTCACTCCGCTTCCTCCAAATCCAACGTCCTCCAGGAGAGGATGCCACTAGCATGTTTGTTAAGCGCAGCATGTCAGTTGGGTCGGTAGGTTACAGAACAGAGGTGTGCTCTTGTTTTCGTTTGGTAGTAAAGTGAGAGTGCGTTTAGCAGGAAGCAGCTGTTAGCGCTCCGTAGCCGACGAAGACGTCTGTCAGTCATTAAGAGGGAGCAGATGCTGCAGAGCGGAGGGATATGGAGGGATTTACATATTCTGCTCTTTGTTCTGTTTTTCTTCTGTTTGACCCTCATGCACATGCACTCAATGTCAACGTCTCACACACTTAATATTCCATTCGTAACCTTCACCCACGTTCCTGCTGTAATAAAAACCCTGTCGACCTTATCACATACATTTCACACATCCTACCTGCATACAAATACACTCATACATATATGTACACTTAATATTCTATACGCTCTCATCCACACACACACACTCTCTCTCTCCCTTCCCCTCCAGGCCATCGAGCGCCACCTGATACGCAAATCCAACGGCGGCCTGACGTTCATCGGCGAGTGGAAGAACGGCCACCTGGAGAGGAAGATGGGCCACCTGGCCTGCTTTGCCGGCGGCATGTTTGCGTTGGGCGCCGACGGCTCGCCCGACGACAAGGCCGGACACTACCTGCAGCTGGGAGCCGAGATCGCACACACCTGCCACGAGTCCTACGACAGGACAGGTGAGGAGGGACGCAAGGAAACAGACACACGTACTTCACGTTTGAATAACGCGGCCATGGTAGCGCAGTAAAGGTTAGACAGTGGTGTTGTAGCTATTGTTGTCGTCGTCATTATTGCTATCGTGCTCTGTAAATGCACATCTGTGCCCTCAAAATGAACTAAAGCTTTAATGTCAAAGCTACGGAAGCCCTGAGAGTCAAATGAGAAACATCTCCACTACCCACATGTTATAAATAAGACTAAATGCATTTATGTTTTCCCCAAAACCAGATTAAAATTAATTTATTGCCAATATAAAGACATGACAGTAATCTTACATAACCTCCTAACACACTATATACGTACCTTGTGTTTAGAGTGCCTGGAGAAATTGGGGATAATGGTGCACTTCAGCCTCTTGTGGCCGAAATGAGTATTACAACAACAAACAGATAAGATATCTTCAGATAGATAAGACATGAGGAAAATTGATCACAGGATTAAGATAATTCTCACCTTCCTCTCGGGATTTCCATACAAACCAGACTTTAATTTTTATTTAATTTATACTGTTTAAAGAAACAAAAACACCTTCAAGAAAAGTGATCAGTGGAGCAGCTGCAGTGACTTTAGGTCCTAAAACCTAAAGCACAGTACATTCACTGTATCTTTCTTATTCATCATAGTCTTTCTTAGAGACTGGCAGGTGGATTATTATATATCATCCATTTAAAGGAGACCTTTCAAAACACCTGCTTGGGATGGTTTTTCCCTGACGAGGATCAATAACAAAGAAACTGTGTGTGTGTGTGTGTGTGTGTGTGTGTGTGTGTGTGTGTGTGTGTGTGTGTGTGTGTGTGTGTTAATCCCTTCAAAAACAGTCCTGTCACCACCTCCTTCAGCTCAGCAGTAATTTTTCGTAATACTCATCACACTTAATTGGCAGAAAACACAGTCGATGTAAGAAGATGAAAATGCATTAAATTTAATGAGAAGCAGGATTTTTATTGCTTCATCACACACACACACTCTCTCACACACTCACACACACACTCACACACTCTCTCACACACTCACACACACACTCACACAGACACACTAATTCATATCAGAAAAAGATAATGTTTATGTCATCTCCTGTTTTCCTCGTAATCATTTTTTTCATTGTTTTACCTTCCTGACTTTCTTCCTTTGTCTCTTCTTCCTTTTCCTTCTTTCTCTTCCTTCTCTTCTCTCCTTGTTTCAACATCTTTCCCCTCCATCTCCTTCCCTCCTCCCCTCATCTCCTCTCCCCTCCATCTCTTCTCCTCTCCCCTCCATCTCTTCTCCTCCCCTCATCTCCTCTCCCCTCCCCTCCATCTCTTCTCCTCCTCCCCTCATCTCCTCTCCCCTCCA